GCTTTTCAATAGGGCTGCATGACTCATGTCATCTTCATGCACAGTGGTGCTGGCATTGACATTTCACTCACATTTTCTGCACAGACTCAGATTCACTTACTCATAGCCAGGTACAAAACCATGCCTGTCTTTCATTTTTATTCAGTATCTAGAGTCAGTTCTGTATCATGCTCCATAGTGTGACATGCTATTAAACATAGTAAGGAAAAGTCCCTTCCCCTAGGGGTGCATACAGGACATTAGAAGAAAATGCAAGCAAAAATAATGAACAAAACAAAACCAAAAAACCCAAACCCACCTAACAAAAAAAGCAGAGCAATGGTAAAGGACCAAGGCAATGGGATCACATAGCAACAAGTTTGTCACAGACAAATTGACTACAACAAAAAATGTGTACAAAATAAAATTAGTAATTCCTGTTACCTCTCAGTTATCAGGTCACTGATATTTTGAAAAATGCAGAGGATGAAATTCAAGAGGAACAAGTAGAGAGGAGAAACTCTCCTTAAGGTCACTCTCCATGAAAACAGCCTGGCCCAGAAAATCTTACCAGATTAATTGCTGCCATGGCAGGGGGCTAGAACTAGATGATCCTTAAAGTCCCTTCCAAGCCATTCTGAGATCTGTAATTAAATTGCTACTCAGGCCTGAAATGCAGAATTATGAGGTAAATAACAGAAGAAGTCTGAAGGCATATAAGGGGTGTCCAGACCTTAAGAGTGAAGAAGCAAATAATTCCATGCAAAACACAGAATAATGCACCAAGGTCACATCAGGCTGAGCCAAATTCAAACATCAAAGTGGCTACGTGGGCTCTTAAGGCAGTTGCAAAAATGAATAAACCAGTGGCACAGAAAAACCAGCTGGAAGTCAGCACACAGTAATAAACAGGACTGGGGTGCTTTTAGCCCTGTATCAGCTCTTTCAAAAAACAACTAAGGGAAAATTACAAGGTTGAGCAGTCAATGGTAACTTCACAGTAACTTCAGTTCAAAGCCTGGATTGAAGCTTGCTATTTAGACAAAAGAAAGATCTTCTTTGTAGTCAATCAAGATTTTTTCAGGGAATTCACTGTGAATATGCACAGATTTTCTTTAGACATTGCGAGACAACATGTGAGCAAAAAAAAATAAATGACTGAACTATTAACTGAAATCACAGTATTGGCTAGAAGATAAGAGAGCAGGGACAAAGATTATAAAAAAAACTGTTATAGCTTGAAAACAAAACAATGTGAAGGATCATTACAGCATGTCTGAGTCAAAAATAATGCAGACAGTCAGCAACACGTCAGATTTTTATTACTCTTTAGTCCCTTTTATGATTAGGAGTTTGTTTGCTTGCTTCATGTTGAGAGATGAGAGTGTTTTTTGACTTTTTAAAATGATGCCTATTATTCACATGATATGTCCTTGCCTGCCATCATTGTGATACCAAGGTGGTTTTTGACCAGGAAGATAAAATGCAGCTAATTATTCTACAAAAATCACTTGCACTGGAAGTACTCCACCCCTCATTGAGATACAAAGTAAGGCTGGAAACTGAAAATGCCTTGTGTGCCCACCTTCCAGAAAAACCTAGTTTTAATTTCTGTTCCTGTGGTATACAGTGCTACAAACTCAAATGCTGGAGAAAGCTAACTACCCTAACGTGTGTGTTCCATGGATTTTTGGTTGGAGACAGACAACATGGGACTCCTGAGGGTCCTCAACAAACAGCCCTGAGTTTATTGTGGCTGCCCCTGTTATAGGGAGTGGTTCTGCTTGTGAATGTCCTGAAAGAATTAGAACTTTGTACCATATTAAAGCCTTCTGCCGTCCAACAAAAAGAAAAACCAAAAGAAAATTTAATGTAAAATTAAATTTTACCAGGTAGATCACAACTGCATTTTTTTCCCATCACATATTTAAGATATTGTCAGCCATTATATTTCAACAATTAATGGTGTGCTTGGGTATCAAATGACAGTGGCCATTTGTGAAATCCCTATGATGAACATTCTCTCAGCTTTGAAATAAACCCAAAGATAAACACTCCAAGATCAAAGATCTGCTTTCAACAATTTGAATCATTATACAACAGCCAAAATTAGCATTCAATATAATCCTGATTCATGTAATGAAAAGTATTATATATCTCACTCATACACATAGAAATTTTTACATGTTCTTCTACTAAGAACTTTCTTCACATCATGACTTCACAAGTTTTAAGCTTGTGAAAGCAATTTTTTCCCTCTCTGCCATGAATGGTTCTTTGCTAGGTGCAAAAAATGGACTTTGGTATCACAAAGACTCAGACAATACAGTCAGCAGCTAAAGAAATTACTGTGTTCTGCATTGTTACACTCCATAATTATATAATTTTAATCCTCGAAGTTTGCTTTTGTCGTAGCATTTTCCTTTACAATATCACAATTGCCTTTTGACTGAGTCTGAGATTTTCCTCATTCTGGCCCACAGTGCTATGGATAATGCCTTTCTCATCAAGTTTTGAAATCCCAGGAGCAATGCTATCAAGAGTGAGATTAAGTCATGTTCCCAGACCAAAATTAAGCCTTTCTGAAGAAAAATTATTAGCTGCAGCTACTTTCAGCCTCTTCCCCTGCCTTCTCTCCCCTATTCCAAATATCTCTCAAGCTAGAACCCTCCTTCTATTCCTTCTGATAAACTTCAGCATAAATCCAGATAAAAGCCTCAGCTGAGGATTTACACCCACACAGTCAAACAAAAACACAGATAAGCAGGGGCCAGCATTTTACTTAACATCGCTTAAAATTTGAGTTTTAAATAACTTCAAGTCGACTGAATCCATCAGGAATTAAAGAGAAATCATTTACAGGTAGATATGGATCTGAACTACTCACACAATTATAAAAAACCTCAGATTCACTAAAATATATGTAGTCAATAATGACACAATGAAAGAATCCAGAGCATTCTAGTCTAGTATCACTTGTGTCTACATCAGAGTCTGTTTGGGCTTTGCATTAGAAAATCATGATTACAATGAAAGTAAACAAGATGAGATAAGAAGCAGCTTGAATAGTGGAAATCAGCTTTGAGCCGTGTGTTTACTCTCCTTTTAGTCAAGAGTTTTAATTTCATTGTAGTAATGTTCTTCCCTTATATTTATATATTTTTCCTGATCATAGTTGAGCACATATAAGTCACGTTGAGAACATGTACATATTAACTGAAAATGTGCACACAGCTGGATTTTAGGGGTGAGAATGATATTAACTTTACTGCTTGACCAACAGGCAAGCTCTCTGGGAAATACTTGTCACCCCATTTTCCCAAAAGGATCCAAAATGTAAATAAAATCATTTCTTAACAATAACTAGATTATTTTTTTTCCTGTTCCTAAAACATTCAGAAGTGCTTAATTGTGTTAAATATCGTGTCATACTACCACAAATAGAATATATAAGGTAAAATCAAATGAAACATTAAAATTATAATTAGTAGTTCAGAACAGGGGATTTTTAGTGTGAAATCTTGTCTGAAACTCTTATTTGATACTGCTAAATGTTCTGTTGTGAAGAAAAGCTGATTAGCACAGAAGTTGGGAGAAGGTTATTTTAGAACATTCCAGAAGCAGATCAGTGTCTTTTAGGAAGAGACAGCTATGTCAACAACAGACATGCATAATTCAGAAAGATAACTTTGAACATAGAACAAAAACTTACCTCCTTCAGGAAAAAAGAAAAATGCAGAAAAGAGGAAAGGATATTCCTCACCATATAGAACTATTTTCCATATATTTAAAACACAATAAAAGCAGTCTTAGTTTGGAGAAACTCACTCTTTGGCTGAATTCTTCCCCCTTCACACACTGAGCTGAGAACCACAAGGCACTGATATTTGATATTTACACTTGTTAATAAGTATAAATAAAATATATTTTATTTGTAAAGACTTATATGAAGAAATGCATTTTATTACTATAGATTTCTGAAGTGTAAAAAGCAAAAGTATCATCACTGTTGGTGTTGCCATAACAAATGACCCGAATCGAAGTGGTTTGACCTTGAATCACCATAATGTATTAAAACAGGAATTTTACAGCCTTTTCTCTTCTGTTCAACCCTCCACAAGGTTACATTATCCTAGAGCTGTCAGAGTTCTGCTTTGTTAGCACCGTTTCATTTCAGCAGAGATTCTAACAAGTCAACTTTATTTTTTCCAGTTATGCTTCTTACAGAATATATTCCATTCCTATGCAATTTCTATTGAAGAAACTGAAATAAGAATTTCAGGCTTTTTAGACTGAAAAATGTACCAACTCATTGAGAAACTGAGCAAGTGACACCTCAGCACAAGCCCAGGAATAACTAGATCAGATCTCACTGAAGGCAAACACCAAGCCAATACCTTCACACCTCCAACAGGACATACACAGTGAGTATCTGACAAAAGCAGCAGATACATTGAATTAAAACACTTGGAATGTGCTCTCCATACCAAAGGAGAGGGCTAAGCACTCAAGTCATGTTGCCCCTTGGCTCACAGAACAAGCAGGGCATTGTACCATGCCAAAGGGAAAAATCCTCAAGTTATTTGTGACCACCTGTCCATCACCTGGAGGGCACTGTGTGGAACAGTTTCACTGGGTGCACTCAGCATAGCTGGAGTCACGCAGCTTTCTGGTTTAAATGTACTTGTACTAGTCCCCAAACTCATAGATTGCCATCTCCAATACAGTCTTGGAAGAGGGAAAAGAAGGTCTGTAAAAACTGCCCCGATCTCTGAAGATCAGGGCTCTCTCTATAAATTCTGTCTAGGGAAGAACCACTCTGGTGGCATCCAGCCTACACATACAGATATAAATTAGGCCAGTTTTTCCTACCAACACCTGCCAGGATGAAGCAGAATTAACACATCCTGCTACGGAAACTCAGATCATCAAGCAGCAGTGCACAGAAGAAATTAAAGCTGTTAACTTTACCCAGCTATGGAGAACAAGAAGCAACACTGACCCTTTCAGCAGCTACTTACTCAAGCAGTAGAATGCTCCAGAGGCTCCTTACAGGAGTAACTGGTGGAAAGCTGTGTCAGCTGCCATTATCACACTCGGCCAGCAAATCCTGTAGAATCTCCTAATAATATATTAGCAAAAAGTGAAATACATAGTTGAGACAAGCCAACAGTAAATCTGTTTCCAAATACAGTATCTTAATTAAAATTGTTCATTATTTTCTTTTTCCCAGGTGAAATTAATTGCCTAGCAAATACAGTATCTTAATTAAAATTGTTCATTATTTTCTTTTTCCCAGGTGAAATTAATTGCCTAGAGATCGTTCCTGAGATACCCCAAAGCTAACCTTTCATTGATGGCCACTTCTCAAAAGAAAAGGAGCCAATAAAGCATTAAACCACACAAATCCCACAAACATAATCAAAACTTCTGCTTATTCCCCATCATTGAAATTTTTGTAATTGAAATTTTGCTGGGTTTGCCCATATAAACTCACAAAGAGCACAACTGACCAAATTTTCACAGGGTAGTTTTGTTGCAAAAGCTCATTTGAGCAATTAACCATAACAATAGCTTAGTTAATAACAGGAAGACCATCTTCTGCTTTCACTGGGCAAGGAAAACCTAAAGCTGAGCTTTTCAGAGTTTGCTCAAGTGCAGTTCACTCAGGTAGGACAACAAATAAACAAACATTACAATCCAAGCCCAGGCTCCTCCCTGTGGCTGCAAAAGGACAGGCCACAGATCCTACCGGGGCCTACCAACCTCCTCACATTTCCAGACCTTCTCCCACAGCTCTTGGAATGCCATTAACATATAACACAAACTACATTAGACTATTGCTTATCATGAGACTGTCTGTAAATACCACATCCCCACACCTAAGGGGAAGCGGCCTGCCTCACATTAGAGCTGCTAAAGCCCTTCACATCCCCTCCCAAACTCCCCTTCCATCAACTTACTTCTCTTCCTCGCTCCCAAAAACTTCCTCCATCTCCAGCAGCACCATCCAAAGTAAAACACAACCTGCAGCAGCTCCTGCAGATATGGGCTGGCCTGGCCCTCCTACCCACAGGTGTCTCCCATTGCCACCACTCCCAGTGCCATCACTCCTGGTGTTTCCCATTGCCACCATTCCCATTGCCATCATTCCCATTGCCATCACTCCTGGTGTTTCCCATTGCCACCATTCCCATTGCCACCATTCCCATTGCCACCACTCCCATTGCCATCACTCCTGGTGTTTCCTGCCACCATTCCCATTGCCATCACTCCCAGGTGTTTCCCATGGCCACCACTGGGTCTGCTGCAGGTTGAACCCTGCCAATTAACCCAGTAACCCAGCACTGCCTTACACCCAAGTTTTTGAAGGAAGCAAATCCTACCAGATCCCCTAACTAGAATGTGTGTCCTGCAGTAGCTCAGGATTGGCAAAATTCCTCCCCACCTTAAGGACATGAGCCATTATACCTCATATATATTATGTTCATATTCATTCATATTATATTATGAACTATTATATTTCCTTTCATATGCCATAACCACAACAGAATCCTCTTCTGCTCAAGAAAAATATTTATAATTATTTAAGAGTGGAATCCTACTCCAGCACCTCACCCACAGGCCACATCTGAGCTTGATCTCTCCCATCCACTGAAACCTGAGATTACTGGAATGGTGTAGAATGGTGTAGCCAATGGTATAGAAATAACATCCTGAAAAGTAGCAAAAAAAAAAAATTACAAAATAAGTTATTATAATAAATAGAAAATAGTCTGTGCTCATAATATTCAAAATTTAAATAAGATCTTTAATAAGAAAGAGTTAAAAGAATAGGGAATAACTGGGTAGTGTTTTGCTTCTCTGCAGTGCTTGATTTAACAATAGATGCAATAAACAATTACTCAGATTAGCACCTCTTCAACACCTTTTCAAAACTGTGTAATTAAAAAAATGAGGGTGAACTAGGGGAGAAAGTTTTTTTCTTGCTATTTAATATTAGGTGTATGTTATCAGACTCCAGATTTGGGATTTGGGGAAGGCAGCTGGCCCTTTTCAATACTCATTTGAGCATTGATGGTGCCTGAAGCAAGCCAAGGGCCTCGGTGTCCCCTGTGCTGGGGGTCACCATGGGGCTGTCGCTGTCCCTCGGCTGTGTCTGACCAGCTCCAGGCCAGGCTGGTGGGACAGACAGCAGGAACAGGCCTCACCACCTCAGGATGGGTTCCATTTTCACATTGTCACAGCCTGAAATACCAGTGATGGCAGTTCTCAGGAAGGGCAGTGGCAGTGTGTGCACAAGGGATGCTGGCTCCAGTCAGGGATGCCGGACCATGCCGGGCTGCCCAGTCAGGGTGTGGGAAAGCACCTGAGTGCCCAAGAGAAACACAGTCTCTTCACTGGTGTTCCAGAGAAACTGGGATGCTTTTGAGGCTGCTGTAAGAAATCCTGGGGGGAATTCTTGTCAGCAGGGCTGTTCCCTGCAGGGAGGCACCACCCTGTGCAGAGAGAACTTTTTATTCTCCCTATTTTTAAATGTCTGGGGAGACAGGAGGGGTTTTTGCTTTAGTTGTAGAATGACAATGGTGGCGTTTTTTTCCCTGTACTTTACAGCTCTTTTTCATATCCTTTCTGAAGAAGGGCCATGTGAATACTGTGCTGGATTAGGGCATGTGCAAGCACTCAATATATAATTATGTATTTTATAATAGTGTAATGCTTATTTGTTTGGACAGTTTTCCCAATGCCTGGTGAAAGAAAAAACAAAGCAGAATGGTTCAAAGCTGCGCTTTTTGAACTTATTGATAGATTTTAAAGTAATGGCTTTATGAGAGAACATTTTCTTATTTTACTATTACAGAGGATAAGGCTTGGTGTTGGAAGTAAGAGCAAAAAAAAAGATGTTAAAATACTGTCTTCTAGCTATTTTCTAATCATGTGAGTATACACTTCCTTCTACAATCTGTTTTGATCTGTCTATATCTTCATGCACATGCATCTGTAAATATGCAAATATTTAGGTATTTATCCCTATAATTCTTCTTATCCAAAAGGCAAACATTCATATCTAGGTTTCTAGACCCTCAAATATTGCAAAGTATCTTTACTATATTATTTTCAGTGGAATTCTATTAATTCAGATCAACTATCTGACAGATTTCATGATTGTGCCTCGAAAATTGCCAGTTCCCTCACAAAAACCAACTCGCTGCAGGCTCCAGAAGCTGAGGCTTCTGATTTGCAATCATTTCTGCTGATGTCCAATGTTCATCTTTGCCAGTAAAACCAGGGATGAACGCCTTTAATTTAAAGCTCTGGTCCCAGTCAGTAAAGGTGATAGACATAAGTAAATCTAAGGATTAATTGAGGATTAAGTGTTAATCTGAGAGCCACATTAACAGAGTTGCATAGGCCAAACCTGGCATTTGATGCTGCCACACATCTGAGGGTCAGACACGCCCTGATGATCCCACTTGCAAGGCGCACAAAAGCAGTTTTAGAACACTCTGGGCTCACAGGAAGAACGGAGCCTTAAAAATGGAAACTCATTCTGCCCAAAATTGATGGATATTATGCCCAGTGTGGCTGCCAGAGCGAGGAATCAGTAATTCAGATAAGGTCAGTCTGCTATTAGGTACTGAAACACGCCTGAAGCCATGTGGGACATCAGCAGTTTACAGCAAGAGCTGATACTCATCCCTTTACCACAAGCTGTAATGTTATGATAACTTGGGGTAAAGGAACCCCCCACAAAACTCAAACTTTGTCTCAAATTAATTAAAATATATGTTTATTTTTATAGGCTATGATTTATGAAGACGAGCATTTTATTTGCTCTGAAAGTAAATTGTGTTTGCAAGGCTGAGGCCTTTGTCTCAGTAAAACTATAATTATCACAGTTAAATCTGTACATCGTGCTCAAGTCATACTGTGTATATGTGCCAATGATCAAAAGATGTAAAAATAATTAGTGAAAATGTAATTACTTTAAGAAACAATCCAAAGAGTGGACAAAACACCAAGCATATTTTGCTTCTCTTTATTTCCTCTTCTAATGAGTTCATTTAGATTTAGGAACAGTTTATCATTTTTTGATGTAGGACTGGATTTCAAGTTATTGCAGTATCTTTTGATCAGTGAATTTTTCTCTTAACACTCTTAGGTTCTTCCTTAAGGTAAAGTCAATTTCACAGTAATACCTATATGTGAAAAAACGTTTTTATTTTGTAGCAGAATACGCTTTCACTAAAGAAAGCCAAACCAAAGTTTCTAAAATCTCTCTTTTTCATTTCTGTCACAGGGCTCAATGAATCCCCATAGATTACACATCCCACTGATTATTTATTTGAACTATCTTGATCAAATAGATGTGTAGCTGCATAACAAATAACCTGATAACCAATGTTAGAGACATTAATTTTCCAGAGCACTAAATCTTCATACAATTCAGTTCTTTCACTCAGAAAAGCATGTCCTATTATATATGGCTCATATCTATATAGAAATCTCCAGGTAGTGCAATTTCAGCTTTCAGGGTGAAAAACTTCACTATTTATGGAATAAATGCTAGGTCTTTAAAATTACCAGCAGAGATTCATACTCACTAACAACTTGAAAACCAGGCAAGTCTCTGTTGCTACATCTGTAATTGGAAAATACACCCAGATTCACGTGATGTTCATGAGCTCAAAATTTACCCACAGATAAAACTTTGGAAATCCTATTAAGGGTAACACCTTGAGATGTCATGATTAATCCATACCAGTCCTTCAGGAAACCTTTGTGTAGTCACTTTGAATGCCTCAGTAATTAATTCCTCAATGTCATTTGACTTGACTCAGGAACACGATTTAGGCTATGCTGGAAATAATGTTGTCCTCCTTATTGTAGATGAGAAGGATATATGACAATTAGGAATAATTTATGCCCTTTCATTTTAGAGGTAATTATATATTTTAATTTTTCCTAAAGCATGATTCAGATTTTGATACTCTATTGCACAGGTACATACACGGAAATATTGACTTTTAGAACTTCTGACTGTGGGATAACATTGAAATATTGTTCATTATACATTTCTCAGGGTGGGCCAGAGTGCTAATTTATTTGTTCCAGAATATAATATACCTCTAGTCACAGATACAGAATAGTGAGAAATCTGAGTACAGGGGGAGGGTTATAAGTTAGTATTTCCACTTTAGCCAAAAAAAAAACCTAAAAAAACAACCAACCAAAAATCCCCAAATCACTTTTGTACATCATACAAAATCATTATGGCCTACATATAAAAATGGGCAAATTACTGTATTGATGAATACTGTGAATTATTTTGGCTGAGCTTTGATGTCCCGCTCTCACACATTTCTACATGCACACACCTGTATGCCTGGTGCACCTGCAGACTGTGCTCTGAAGTCCTCCAAACCCAAACCATTCCTGAGAACTTGCTCTGCCTGTGCATGCTGAGCCCTCCTTGGGCTGAAGTGCTGGGACTGTGGTGGTGAAATGAAGGGCAAAGTGCCAAAGGCAGGCACTGAGACAAGACCTGTGGGAAGGTAATTAAAGGAGGCTGTTTGGAGCCTGCTCTGGTGGGAATTTACCCAAAGTGGCAACAGGATGAAGATGAGGGGTTGGATAATGTGCATTTCTCACCCTCATTTCTGGATTTTTTTTTATTTTTTTTTTTTTTTACAGGCTAGGTATTTGGAAAAAAAAATTAAGAAAAAGTTGGCCAAATGAAATCTGTAGTTGAAGTAGATGCCCCACTCTAAAAGAGGGAAAGCATCAAATGCAACCTTGAAATCTCTACAATTTTGCCATTGATTAAAGATGAACTGAAGACTTTATATATCTGGGGAGAGAGCAGATCTCTGGAGGAAATCTAAAAAAGTTTTCTTAGATATTTACCACAAGAAGTATCTTCTTGAACTGAATTTACATGCAGAATAAAATATATATCTAATTAAATATGCTTTGTCGATCTGAATATCTCAAACCCAT